AACCCTCATCACGAGCATCCCCCCGCCGCAGGGGCGCGGGACAGGGCGGGCAGCAGCTGCCGGGGCTCGAGCCTGGTGCAAAGCTGCAGCCGCATGTCCCGCAGCCTGCGGACCCCCCCCCAGCGCTGCCCGGCCGTGCGTGCAGGGTGCGGAGTTGGGGTGCAGCACTGTTCTCCACCGGGGTGCTTGTCTGTCCAGCCCCCATCTTTCCCAGTTAAAGTGCAGCTCCTGGGCTGGTCTGGAGAGAGAGGGAGAGAGGCCGGGGAGGGAGGAGGAGGCTGCGAGGGGTCTGCCCGGGACCGGCACAGCCCACCCCACCACTGAGACCTGCTGGCTGCCAAGGAGGCACCGGGGAACCGCGGCTCCCACCCACCCCATGGGCCCGTCCAACTTTTGCAACACGCAGAGCATCCTTCAGGGATTCTCAAATCCTCCTGTTTCACACCAATCCCACAGCCTCCGGGAAGGACGATAGGGCTATTCAACAACCTCCCCCTTTCTCTCTCTGTCTCTCCAGTGCCTGTTGACACCAAAAGCCCATGAGAACACCCACCCTCGTTTTCATAACCCTCCATCCTCCCCTTGCGCCCTTCTGCCAGCCTTTCCTAACCTCTCTCCATTTCTTTGTGCCTCAGATGAGTTTCCTGCTCTCGCGAAGCCTCTGAAAGCCGCAGACCGTACGTCCCCTTAGCCTCTCGGTTTGCAATCACCGCTTGGTAATTGTTTTGCTGGGTCAGCTGCCGTCAGGGCTGGAGCGCTGGCTGCGGTTGGGGGAGCGTCGGCTGCGCCGTGCCTGGGCACCGTGGTGGGAAGCGGGGACGGCGCCAGCACGGCCTCCCCCTGCCCTGCGGGAGCGGCGAAAGGGCTCCACCGCCCTTCCCCACAGCGGGTTTGGGGTGCCCATGCTGGGCAGCGATGCCTTTGCGGTCTAAGCGTGTGTTGCGTGCTGAGCCAGCTGTGCACAGGAGCAGCTCAGGAGCTCAGAGCAGGACCCTGCAAACGATTTCTGCCCCTTGGCTCTTCCTTCTGCTCGAGGTTTCCTAAAAACGAGCCATTCTCTTCCGAGCACTCTCTTACTGCCTTAAGGGGAGCAGGGGGCCAGCTCCTCGGCTGGTGTAAATCCCCCACGCTGGCTCACACCAGCAAAGCGATGCTCTCTGGGACCAGGAAGCTCTGTGCCCCCCGGCACAGCCCCACAACCACCTTGTCTTTCTCCTGCCAAAAGGTAAGCTGTCGTAGGACTCAAAGGGGGTGAAAAACTGCAGCATTTTGGTGGCCTCCAGCCGCATGCGTGCGGTCCCCATGGTCCTGCAGCGAAGCCCCGTGGGACACGTCCCCGAGGTGCCTTCGGGACTCTCTTAACGGCTCTTTTCCCTCGTGGTCCCCAGCTGACGATGGGCTCGGGTTCCTGCCGACCTTCGGTCCCTGCTATATCAACCTCTACGGCAGCCCCCGGGAGTTCACCGGCTTCCCCGACCCTTACGAGACGCTCAATTTAGGAAAGGTGACGTCGGCTTCTTTCCAGCACAACCAAAACTAAACTACCACCCCTCCTTGCCAAAAGAAAGCTGCTATTAACCCAAACTGGCTTTGTTATTAGGAGCCTGCACTGCGTTTTCTGTCCCTGGCTATTCCCGCTGGCTAAACACCTCCTGATATTGCTCTGCTGCCCAAACACTCTACCTTTGAAGCGCTTGCAGAAATACTTTGCCTGATCTTGCTCCTCTGCAATGAAGCCCGCTGAAAGCAAAGGCAGAGCTGCGGGGAGGGATCACCGGGGTCCTGACGCCTGTCCCTGGTCTACCCCAAGGGCGAGGGAGTCGCGTATCGTGGCAGGATGCTGGTGGAGCTGGAGACCAAACTGGTGGAGCACGTGGAGCAGAAGGTGGAGGACATTTCTGCGGATGACATCCTGCGGCTGGAGGTAACGGGGTCTCTGCGGGGTCCCGTGGACCCCGGGGTCGTCCCTCCGGCGGCACGGCATGTGGGGCACTAGGGAAGGGGCGTGGGTGTTGGTCCTGGGTGGGTGATGTCCCGTGAGCGGTGGAGTGGTCGGTGAGCTCCTGGAGGGTGTCTCCTGCTGTGTTTCCATCCCAGGGTGTCCAGCTTGCTCCATCTGAGCTGCTGCATGGTAGAGAGCAGACCATGGTGAACATGGAGGGGTGGGAGATTTGCTTCAACAGGACCCCAGTCCCAGCTCGAGTGCTACCGCAGATGTGCTCCTTTTGCTCGTTTCTTCAGGCTTAAGCTGCATTTTTTATGGAAGGTTCCAGCCTTCTCCTTTGTCAGGTTTTTCCTAAATATCTCGCCCAAAATTCCCCTGCTGCAACATATGCTTTTCTTCCCCGCAAGAAACTTTTCCATCTCGGAGGCCTCACTCAGCTGGTGTGTGCCGGGGTAGTAGAGGGTCTGTGTGGCGGGGAGCGGTGGTGGTGTCTTCTCTGTGGACACGGTCCTGTGCCTGTTGCAGAAGTACCTGCGCCGTCGGAAGTACTCCCTCTTCGCTGCCTTCTACTCGGCCACCATGCTCCAAGACGTGGACGACGCCATCCAGTTTGAGGTCAGCATTGGCAACTACGGCAACAAATTTGACAACACCTGCCTGCCCTTGGCCTCCACCACGCAGTACAGCCGGGCTGTCTTTGATGGTGAGCAACACCGGGGTGACCGAGCACTGGGATGGGCTGCCCGGGGAGGGTGTGGAGTCTCCATCCTTGGAGATATTCAAAACCCAACTGGACGTAGTCCTGGACAACCTGCTCAAAGTGACCCTGCTCGAGCAGGGGTTGGACCAGATGACCTCCAGAGGTCCCCTTGCCCACCTCAACCATGCTGTGAAGGGGGAATATGTGACTGGGGAGGAGTGGAGAAGCCAGGACTACTTCTCTCAGCTCTGTGCTGGCTTGAAGTGGTTTTTGGGCAGCACCTCAGCACGAACAGTGCCCATTTCTCTTCAAGGAAGAGCCAGTGCTTCAGGGTGGCCTTTCCCTGGCTCCTGTGGGGCTCTCATTCTGGTGTGAGATGTCCTCACCCCACTGGGTTTGTTCTGCTGGTTTCTGGCCTCACTGCAGGAGCTGCTGCAGCTGTGGAGGTTGACGCACATCCCTTTGGACCTTGGTGTGCATTGCTCTGTTGCATGTGGGTTTGGGGAACGTAATTCCCATCCTCTTGCTCCAAAAGAGCCCCAGAGATGGGCTTCTGCCCAAGGCCAAATGCTGCACTGCCCCCCTTCATCTCTGCTCCAGTCCTGAGGAGTGGGGTCCCCTGTCACCCCAATATCATGAGCTCACCAGTGTGCTGTGTGCTCCAGGTTGTCAATATTACTACCTGCCCTGGGGCAACGTGAAGCCCGTGGTGGTGTTGTCATCCTACTGGGAAGACATCAGCTATCGCACAGATGCCCAAAACCTTCTCCACCACGCAGCAGACAGGCTGGTGAGTGCCGCGGTGGCGAGGAGCGTTGTCCACCTCCTTTCTGCATCCTGCCCCGGGGGGACAGGGAGGGGACAGAGGCCACCTCCAGGCCGGGTCGGGTTTGGGGTTTGATGACTCTTGTGCTGTGGAGGGGAAATCTGTCGGCGTCCCGGGTGCCCTGCTCAGCCCGTGGAGTGATGGAGGGAAAGGGACCACCCTCATCCCCACAGGGGTGACAGTGGGGTGTGAACGCAGTGCTTTGCCGTGCCACCCGCCTGCCTACTGATGCAGGCGTAGGAGGCAAGGACCTTTCTTCAGCTCCTGAGCTATTTATGGGATTTCTTGCCGTATTTCACTGTTGTTTCCCCTGGAGCTCCAACAGGAGCAAAACTGGAGGTGCAGAGCCCCGGTGGGACCCAGGCTGGAGTTTCTGATCACGGGGAGCAGCCCCAGGCACTCATTGGGAGGGTCCTGGACGTGGGGTGGAGCAGGGCGCTGGGGGGGGTTCCCCGCTGTGCAGCTCCTCTTCCCCACCTATCGTGCAGGAAGCAAACCTGGAGAAGGTCCAGCTGGCTCTCAAGGCCAACCGCTCGCCGAGTGAGCTGGACGCCCTGGGTGCCCAGCTGGTGGATGACGTCATCGCTGACTGCAGGTATTTTCTGCCAGTTTTGAATGCGAGCCTTTTCATGCCGTTTATTGCGAGAGCACTTATTTATCTTGGAAGGGACAACTTCTTTTTTTTTTTTTTTTTTTTTCCCCTCTGAAAAACGCCGGTCGTTTGCTAATGTTTGCTTCAAAGGTTGCTGAGCCAAGGCACGGAGTTGAAAAGGTGACATTTAAGGCAAGTCATAAATTTCCAGCCTTCACGCAAGGGCTGCAGCGTGGCTCACCTGAATGAGTGGCATTGTGTCGGGGCAGGAGCCAGAGCCAGGCCAGCCCAGCCAGAGGGACAGTGGGGCTCGTGGAGTGAGGAGCCACCGGTGTGGCTTCCCGGTTGAGTCTCGTCTGCGCCGCGTAGGAGGCACCCGTGCAGAGCACCCGGAGGGGGCGTTCGGCTGGGCATGGGTGTTGTGTGTCCGACGGCTGGCCCGGGGGACGGGGACGGGGATGTTGCAGGGCTGGATGGTGCAGCCATCCCACCGTCCCCGTGGGCAGCACCACCAGTATCTGCTGCTGCTTTGCCTTTCTAAGCGCTTGAACAGTCGTTCAAGGGAGGCTGGCAGGGTGCCACGGGCTTTCCCTCCATGTAGCCTGTTTTTTTGGCCCGGATTGCGCTTTGTGGGGACGAGGAGCCGCTCCAGGGAGCATCACTGCGGTATGACCGTGGCCTTTTATCCCAAGGACAGCTCAGCCCTCAGGAAGGTATTTCAGGGACCGACCTCACCAGGGTCTTTGGACCATGGTTCCCCTTCAGGCATGCCCATGAAGATGATCTCTACGTCCCGTCCCATGCCCATGCCTGGCCACACAACTTTCCTGCAGCAGCTCCATGCCATCAATTTGGGGAAGGGCAATAGTAGGATGGTTGATGCGTTTTTAGCCCTGGCAAGCCCTTGCCAAGGGGAATTGAGGGAGCTGACGTGCCTCTTGGAGCTTTCTTGCCTTGGGAGGTAGGTGGAGAGCAGCCAAGCTGTGGAGACAGCCCTGCACTGGGCTGGGACACCCCATTGGTGGCAACCGGGGGCTGTGACGGGTGGACCTCTGTGGTCACTGAGCTCGTGTGGTGGCTCTTGGTGCTTTATCTCAGCAGAGAGGGAGAATTTGGCCTTCTTGCCTCTCCCTGAGGCCACCAAACCTGCTGGGACCAGTTGTCCCCCACCCCTTCCGCAGTAGCCACCAGCCTGCAGGACCATGCGCGCTGTCCACCTGGGCTTTTGCCAGTCACCTAAGGCTGGGGAGATGGTGCTGAGCTTTCTGCCAAGCCCTAGGTCCCCCTTTCTGTCCCCCCCTGCTCTTTGAAAGGCCCAAGGAGAGGTCATGGAGGTGCTGGGGTGCAGTGGGCATGGGGGTGCGGCCTCTCTGGACCCTCCTGTGACACCCGTGTGGGACCAGACACCTCCTTCCTTCGGTCAAGGAGACCTTGAACGAGCTGACCCTGCTCCGCAGACCTCCTGGAGGTTCTTACAACCTCCCTGTTTATTTGCTTTTGAGCCTCAAAAAGGAGATGTGTTTCGTCCGCCATGCACGCTGGCTCCGCTGGAAAGGTCAGAGCCATCCGACGCTGTCGATACCCGCCCCCCCCGCCCCCGGCTCCTGGGCACACAGGACGGGACCTGAGGGATGGGCCACGGCTTTGGGTTTTCCAGAGATGCTGTGCCCTCCAAAACAAATTCAATTAACTGGGGGGGAGGGGAAATGTGCGGGATGTGCCAAGCCCGTGGTTCCCGCTGGCTCCTGGCCCCGCTCTGTGCTCGGCTCCTGCGGGATGCGGCTCCTCCGTCTCTGCGAGGGTTTGGCGTGGGGACCAGGGCTGGCTCGCGAGGGTGGTGCCCACGGTGGGGGCAGCTGGAACAGCCCGAATGGCTTTTTGGGGGGGTTTTGCACCCCTCCACGCACTGTGCCCTGGGGGGGACGAGCTGAGCCCTGCGGCTGGACCTGTCCGCAGCTCCCCCCGTGATGCTGTCAAAGCCTGGTCTCTGGACTCAGCCAGGACAGAGCTCCTTTCCATCGGGATTTCGGAGGGATGGGACAACACCCCGCCGCTCTCCAGTGCTTCCCCATCCTCCTCTGGGTCTGGACCTCTCCGGTGAAAGGGTTCCAGCGGGAGGGGGTCTCCCCACCTCCTGTTTCCAGTAGGAAAACAGCGACGTGCTGCCAGCATCGCCTTGTCCACGTCTGTTTTCCAGACCTTTGCGTGAAGAGATGGAAGTCGGCTGCTCTCTGGAAAAGAATTGGAAGTAGCATACAGATGGACAAAGTCAGGGAAAGATGAGTCGTGGCAAAACCAAGTACCGAAAACGTTGAATTGCAGCCGGATTCAGGCAGCTCCTGCAGCTCCTTCGTGCTGGTGGGCAGCAGCGCTGACCTGAAGGGTGGTTTTTGTCCCTCTGCTCCTGGCCGTGCCTCCTGCGGCGCGAGGATTGCTCCATGCTGGAGCTCGGAAGAGAGCTGCCTGTGAACTGACCCCTCTGCCGTTCCCTGCCAGAGCTGGGAGCAGGGCGAAGTATGCAGGGGGTGGCCGGAGAGCACCTGCTGCAGAAGAGGGTCCATGTTTTTGATAGTCCTTTTGGTCTTCCTCGTACTTTGCCCAATTCTGTCGCATCTTTCCCCAGCCGGAAGCACAACGTTCACACGAGGATGCACCACGCGTTTATGTGCTGGCACAGTGATGTTCTCAGTTCAGCCCTTTTGCTCTTTCCTCGTAATTCGTGCCTGGAGTGGGAACGGCCAGCGCAGGACCCATCACTGCGGAGGAACTCAACGCTCCCATCTTTTGCCACCTGCCGTGTAACCAGCTCTTTGGCCAGGAGATGACCATCCTCTTGGTCCAGGGTGGCAGAGCCCGTGGGGAAGGACGGTGCTGCAGGCTGCCGGGGAGCCCAGGCGGGCCGTACCAGTACCCCAGCATCCCTCCGCAGGGGACCTCTCGGGTCCAGGTTGTCCACCTCCCTGCTCTTCTCTTCTTAGTTGTGGTTTCTGCTAGTTTGTCGGATGCAAGAGTCAGACTTGCTGATCTCGGGTTCCCCCAGATCCTCCCAGGTCTCGCTGAGGTTGCCATCGCGTTGCTCCTTCCAGTCCTCTAATCATATTAATATTAAGCACAAAGCTACAGATCCCACCCAACCGTCCAGTCCTTTCCTGCCTGAATTGCAAATGATTTTCTGCTCGACTGATTTCCTCCCGGTCCTCTCCTCCCGGCCGCCAAGGCAGGACGGACCCCGACGAGGGGCTCTGCCCTGACGTCCTCCCGGCTCCCAGCTTTTTTTGCTATGAAAAATGCTGCTTCCAGCTCTGGCTCACCAGCACACGTTCCTCGTGTTGGTTATCCACCTGAACAGGGATAGGCCTTTAGGTTTTAGGCTTTTAATGTGGGCGCCTCCGTCTTTTTGCTTTTTTTTTTCCTTAACTATTTCATGGTATTTTTACATTTCAGTTGGTTGAGTCTGTGGTCTTTTCCATTGCCCCATTTGAGCGCAATTTAACTTCTTTTAACCGTCGTGGCTGTTACAGGCCTCTGACATGCAGCACGTATCTCCAGGAACAAGGTGTCTTCAAACCATTTCCATGCTGCCTATAGGATTTAACCCTTTCTGCTGCTCCTTTTCACAGCTCTTTAACACATTTCCTCCTTTTTGTGTAGTTTTATGGTTTATCTTTCTGAAATTAAATTCAACTGCAGTGTGTATACATATATTTTTTCCCTTCCTTTTTTTTTTCCCCTGTTCCTGCAAGGATATTGAAGTACATCCTAGTTTCTGCCAGGAAGTGGTGGTTGCTTGGTAGGTGAGCGGTGTCCTTCCCGTGCACCAGCGACAAAGCAAGCCACGGAGAACGAGTGGGAGGTCAGCTCATCAGCAGCTCCCTCATAATAAATACACAGACAAAGTGTGGACACGCAAAACTGGGTTCACGGAGCGCCATCGGTCTAACCATGGAGGGCTTGGGGCTGCAACCCCAACGCGGTCTTTTAATTTAGCTCCTCGCGCAGGATGCTGCTGAATGATCGGGCTAATTAGCAGCACCCGCAACGCTTCGTCTCCCTTTGGAAAAAGCAGCAAACCCAATTCTCTTTAAGAGAAATGAAAGAACTAAATTTCCCCCCTAAATTTCTCCCTAAGCCTCTTGTTAAAGGAATCCACGTTATTAACCTGAGACAACCGGCGACGACACCGTCTCGGGCAGGTACCACCGCGTGCATCTGCCCGTGGCACATCTCGATGAGCATAGCTGGGCAAGAGATGTTGTCCTTCTTACTTACCATGCAATTAAACCAGGGCTTACGGAGCCCCATCCCAGCCCGAGGGGGGAACGCTGCGGCTGGCGGGGGGGCTGCGGGGCGGGAGCTGGGCGCAAGAAGAGCGTTAATAAGGGCAGCACCGTAAATCACTGCATTTTACAGGAAATCCTCTAAATGGCTCAGCACAGCGAAGATCCTCCCGGACTCCTGAAACGTTTCTCCAGCATCTGGAATCAGTTTATATTAAAATGTCTGTGTGTGTGCGCGCGCGCACGTGGTGTGCACGGATCAGCCAGGGCTCCATCCAGGCTGCTGTGGGTGATGCGTGGGGAGCTGCAAGTGCGGTTTGAAGCTCCTTTGCTCTTGGCATTGCCGTGTTCCCCAAATGTATCTTCGGCGGCTTGTTAATTCTTTGGAAACTTGCTGAAAAGGAGGAAAAAAAATAACAAAAAAAGACAGCAAAACTCCACGAGAGGGTGGACGAGCTGCTAACGCCACTTCTCTGCCTATCCCCCCAGCCTGACCCTGCCCGACGTCCTGGGGAAGCCGGCCAGCACCCACCTGGACCAGAACATGTACCGCTTTCGCAGCACCAACCTGGAGCAGATAGTGAAGGCAGCCCTGAAGCTCAAGCACGACGACTCGAGCCTGTTGGTGGCCCTGGAGCAGGCAGAGGACTGGCTCTCCAGGCTGAAGGCCATGGCAGAGGAGGTAACGCTGCTGCGATGGTGGCAGAAGCTGGTTTTCACCTTTTGGGGGGGGTGTGTCTCG